AGATTTCTTGGACTTACATTGCTTTAGTCTATAAATAATTCCGTGGATAAGATGAAAAAAGCAAAGTTTAAAAGAAGGGACAGAACATGATGAAGCTGGTGAGAGAAGGCAGATCATATGTGTAATTGCCCTAAAATGGAAATCTGAGAGAATGTCAATTTTCTCAGCTGGAGTCAAAAGTGAGAGTGTGGAAGTGATGGGAAATAAGGTCACGTGAGAGCAGTTTTTTATGTGTGGAAAGTTAACTTTCACCACTTCGATGCAGGCTCATTTGAAAAAGGCCAATATCAACTAACTCAACAAGTTGTATTTTTTTTTAGTGGTTTTTTTTCCTTTTATTGATTTTAGACAGGGGAAGGGGGGGGGGGAGGAGATAGATGTGAGAGAGAAACATGGATCAGCCACCTCCCACATGCGCCCTGACCGACATCTAACCCACCACCTTTTGGTGTACAGGACGATGCTCCAGCGGAGCCACACTGGCCAGGGCCACCTCCGGCCAGGGCTACCTCCGGCCAGGGCCACCTCAACAAGTTTTTATTCAAATATCACACAGATAAATATAACAGGCTCAACAATGACCTTATTGATCAAGTGTAAGACTCCTTTGCTGGACATCTGAGAAACCATAATATTTCCTTTATATTCTACTCATGTGTCTGAGTTAGAAGCTTTAATGACAAATAACATTGTTTCTTAGATTAAGACAAAATGATCAGTACTAGAATATAAGTGAAATGAAAATCATTGTTACAAAACAGCAACCACAAAAAAAAAATACTTTCACCAGCTATTAGAGTATAAGGTACCTGCTAGGCCAAAATGGAAGACAACTCTCTTTTTCCTTTTATAATATGTTGTTGTTGTTATTAAAGAGAGGAAGGGAGAGGGAGAGAGAGAGAAATATCAATTAGTTACCTCCTGTATGCACCTTGACTAGGGACCAAACCTGCAACCTGGGCATGTACCCTGACCGAAAATCGAACTGGAAACCTTTTGGTTTATGAGACAACATTCTAACCAACTGAGCCACACCAGCCAGGATAAGACAACCCTCTTTACACATGTGCTTTACCAAAAACATGTCTATCTTTTCCCCCTAACCACTGAAGAGTAGCATAAAGAACATTATGGTTTCAAGAAGCCCATGTTCAGGCTGGTCTTCTCAAAATCAAATTAGAAATCAAGATGAACAGCCCTGACCAAAGTAGCTGAATTGGTTAGAACATTGTCCTGATACACTAAGGCTGTCAATTCAATTCCTGGTCAGGGCACATACAAGTCAACCAGTGAATGCATGGAACAACAAATCAATGTTTCTCTCTCTCTCTCTCTCTCTCTCTCTCTCTCTCTCTCTCTCTCTCATTAAAAAAATTTTTTTAAAGAAATCAAGATGAACAATACCAGGAAAACTTAGCGTAACTTCTCAGAAGGCTTTATCCTTTAGGTAAAGACTGTAAGATTGACTGCCATACAGGTTACCTTTGAATAAATCTTTTCTAGAAATATATTGCCCTTCAGAAGCAACATAATGACCTGTGTTTGAATTAGGCTGCACTTGCATTTATATCTTATATTCCTTGGTGCACAGTTCAACACCCCTGGGCTTTTGGTATTAGGCAGTTGGAAAAGCTAAAGATTACAATTTTGCTGAAATGCTTTCTTCCTGGGAGAGTTAATTAGACCTACTGCACAGGTTTGTCTCAATTTATGTAGTGCACAATCTTGAGAATTGTATGTAATCATCGGAAAATGACTTACAAGAACCTTGTAGCGGCTTTTTCGTTTTTAAGATAAGAACCTCTTTTGTAAAATATGTGCAAGGTTGCTCATTGCAAAGTTTTGTGTACTAGTAAAAACTCTGGAAAGTAAATAGAGAATTGGTTGAATAAGGTTTTGTATATCTATACAATAATCTATAAAGCCTCTATTAAAAAATAAGATAGATATAAGGGAGATTTTTTTACTTAAGAAAATTATAGAATCACAATAAGTTGTCAAAATAGTGCAGAGCAGTCAGCGTACCCTTCACCCAGCTCCCACCAATAGTAACATTTTGTATACAACTAGTCAAAACCAGGAAATTAACATCAGCACAATTCAATTAACTGAATTATAGAGTTTACTCTAATTTCACTATTTTCACATGCACTGGTTTTCTGTGCATGTGTACATGTATGTGTACTGTGCATAATTCTATAAAATTTCATCTCATATATTCATGTAACCACAGCCACAACAACCAAGATACAATATTGGTCCATCACCATGAAAAACTAAAAGAGAACCTTTTGCAGTATTAGAAATGTTCTCTATCTTGATCTGAGTGACGGTTATGCTATTCACTCAAGATTTATTCAATTTAAAATATAAGTTATGATCAAATTAAAAAGAATAATGAGGCTCTATCGGTTGACATGGACACTTATTCAAAACTAGAGGCCCAGCGCATGAAATTCATGCACGGGTAGGGTCCCTAGGCCTGGCCTGTGATCAGAGCCTATCTTCCCAGGCTGCTGGCAGCCGACCCCCCCCCCCTCCGCCCCTGCCACCACCGATCGCCCTCTGTGTGTGGGGCGACTGGCGGGCCTTTGGGCCCTGCTCGCTTGCACACCCCTTGGCCTGGCACCACCCGGGTCCATCGCCACCCACCCCTGGTTCCCCATTCCCCATTGGGCGATCAGAGCCTGCTGGCCGAAGGAGGTACTGAGAGGTTGACCGGCAGGCCCCCATTGGGCGGTAGGGGCCTGCGGGCTGGGGGCAGCTCCTACGTTGAGCATCTGCCCCCTGGTGGTCAGTGTGCATCATACCGACCGATCTTTCTGCTGTTAGGGTCAATTTGCATATTACCCTTTTATTATATAGGATACTAAATAGTCCATCTAAGTATAGACATTTTTCCATTCAACTACTATAATGAATACATAGCTATACATAAAGGTAAGAGCTCTCTCCCAGGCATCACATCGCTTCTTTTGTTTCCTGGATTTAGAACCTTCACTGGCCTCTTCTCTGTCCCATGATAACCCACAGGTTCCACACTGATGGTTGTCAGAGTGGAAAGATCCTGGTACCAGGTCTCATCTACTTAAAAAGCAAGCATCCAGAGTCCCTGAAATGTGAAATCGGGATAAATGCAAAGTGCAGAAGTTTCTATGGTGATGGCCAGGTTTCTTCCTTTTAAGGTGCAAGTCTCCAGCTCCTTTTCTAAAGCCTTTGAGGCCAGATATATGTACAATTATTTTTTGTTGATTTTAACCTTAGAAAGGTAATCTGGCATGCATATCAGATAATAACAGGTCCCAAAGGACCTAGGACAGCACCTCATAGCTAACCAGATTCATATTTTTATAACAAAATGTATGAACATTTCTATTAACTTGAACAAAGACCAAAAATTGCTTCATGTCAGTTAGGGTCAGACTTTGCCATCTAATGAGCTATAAACAAACAAAGAAAACCTACTGCTATTCAGATTTCACAATTATGGTGAGAGACTGAATTACAAATAACTGTGCAGTGCTGGGCGTAAGGAGGCGACCACTGCAAAGATAAGACGTGATGGCAGTGCCTGCCGGGAAGGCTGTTCTCGCTGTGGCTCCAAAGTGAACACTGTTTCAGGGGCCCGAAGAAACGTCCTAATGTAAGCTGTAGCCTCAGAAAAACTCCCCGCATGACGTACAGAATTCCCTCAATGCATTGGTCATTAGAAGTTCTATATGTCACTACTTCCTTATTGGAGTCTGTCCTGGCTGGAGCGGCCCAGAGGTTTATGATTTATGCCACCTCCATGGTTGGACTTGGGCAGCGCCATGCCCAGCACTCCACAGCGATCTCCGTTCTGGAGAACCTGGCCCTCTCATCCCACAGCGCCCTGGGTCAGACCGTAGCGAACAGGGACACAGAGCGAGACAAAATGCTCGGGTCAGAGGGGCAGTGTTACATATCTGCTTATTAACTAACAGGTCTAAAGGAAAAAGACAGGGAACATTTCGTTCTGTTCATTCATTCAGTGATTTCATCTAAAACAAAAATAACAAAAAAGGTTTCTAGCTTCTAAATTGATCCCTCTTCTCCAAAGACCCTGAAGCAGGACATGCTTGCCCATGACATTCCTAGGACCCAGGTCTTGACCGTCTGGTCTGGGATCCGGTGTTTAGTGATCATCCCCCCCCCCCAAAAAAAGCTTAAAAATACAACAGGAAGTGAGCAAAAATGAGCCAGAAACACATGGAATACATGCATACCCAGAGATGTAAATAAAGTAGTCTGAAAATACATCTGTTGAAATACATGACTAAAAAAAATAGCCTAGGGAGAAAAATGAGGACATATGAGATACTTTCAACAATAAAGATTAAAAAAAGAAAGAAAACAGCCTGAAGGATAAAAATCGTTAGCAAGAGTTTGTCATGTATATTCCATTACTTATATATGACGTCAGTTTGCATTTCCACAGATTAGGAGTCAACACAACAAGACACACCTGTTTTGTATAGCTTGGAAGAAACAGCCCAATATTAAAAAATAAATAAATAAAAAATAAATGAATAGACTCAATTCTTCTCTGAGTAGGACGTCACCAATTCCCTCCTAGGCTCCTCTCTACTTCTCTCAAGTCTTCAAAGTTTTACAATTGAGAGAGAGGAATCCTTTTCCTCTTATCGATAAATAGACAATGTCAGTTACATGCTCACCCTCTCGCAACAGTCACATGGATTTCCTACATTCCTGGGACTGGGATGGATTCACTGGGTACACCGTCACCTAGTCTGTTCCTTTTGGAAGACTTGTCTGTAGTGACACCTAAAAGTGTCATTATTTCCCCCAGTACTCACCCGACCTTCAAAATCACCCCTGAAACAAAGCACCAAATTCATAACCAGAAATTTACCATCTCAAATCTTATCTCCATAGCCTCTATATTCACTTTTGTGGAATATCTTGATGATGTAATCAGAGCATACTTTTCTAAGGACTCCATTAAACTACATAAGATTATCGCTTCTCGGCCTTTTGGCTAAGATCAAGTGTAGTATCTGTTCTTATCAGTTTAAACTACATAAGATCAGGGCTAACACTGTAACTCTATGCATTTCTCCAAGGAAAATTATCTAATACTAGAGGTCCGGTGCACGAAATTCATGCGGGGGGAGGGGGGGGGATTCCCTCAGCCCGGCCTGCAACGACACCAGCGTCTCTTGCCCTGGCTCTGGCCCGAGGCCCCTCCCCTCCCTCCATGCAGCCAGGGGCCCCTCCCTTCCCTCCCTCTGAGCGGCCAGGGTGGGGACGCTGGGCTCCCAGCGACCTGAGCCCAGCATCCCTCACCCTGGCCTCCAGCCCGAGGACCCTCCCCTCCCCTCCATCCGCGCAACCGGGGTGTGGACGCTGGGCTCGCGTTGCCAGGGTGACGCCGCCAGCGTCCCGCCCCAGCCACTATGGGTGCCACCATCTTTGTTGCAGAGTGATGGCTAATTTATATATTACTCTTTTATTAGACAGGATTAGAGCCATGCTAAGAAACAGACTCAATTTGGAAAGAAATCAGGCCAGTAGAATTTAATAAAATGGAAATGTGACTCTAAGAAGAGCTTTCACGTTCCCTGGTGCTGACTATCTTCTCCATGGCACACCTAAACTGGGAGGGACTCCTGACAATGTCATGACCCAGAATAACTACTTTAACAGGCGTGACTTTGGTTGGTGCATTCTGAATCTTTCTTGACACTTATCATTGTACTCCAGGGAAGGCAGTAGTCAGTTTACTTTGTGTTTCACGTTAAAGACAAATTAGAAAAGACAAGAATAGTTAACTTAAGAATCCTTTACTCAACAGTCTTTCCAACATAGACAAGAAACTATAAATCATCAATTATTTCCTTTAATATGCAACAACAAACAAACAAACAAGGAGGAAATTTAAATTTGTCAATCTGAAGTCAAGAATAATTTAAGAAAATAATTTGCTTGGAGAGAAACCAAAGAGGAAAAAGTGATCTTGATCTTGAGGGATGCCTGGAGTCTTTGTATTCTAAAATACAACATTCTGGTTACAGAAGTAGATGCAGAAACACCTCCTCAATTTATCATGAGCCTGAGCAAGAGCATCCATTTCCTTACGTGAGTTACACTTGCCCGACTCCAACAGTGGTGATGCCAATGAGAAGAAACGCCAGATGTTAAAAATGTCTTGGCGACTCTGAAAAATTAAAAATCTCTATAAGCCCGATTCCCTCTCCCTCCCCAAAAGAGAAGGCATGCCTGTCACTCTTCTGTATGCTCTATTTCATCCAAAGGTTTGTAACACAAATTGGCATTTGTAATCTTCTCATTTGGCAAGGTAACAATGACATTTTAAATGAAGGAACAATCTAAATCTACATTATTGTCGAAAATATTTTACGAACTATAAAACACAAAGCAATTTAATTCTGGCACCATGAGTCAATATCTGGCTTTTTTCCCTAACAAATTCCACGATTAGCTTTCTTCTTGTATTTGCGGAAGTAAATTCGTAAGCCAAAATAGCCACGCTGAGCATCTGATAAACTCCATCTAAGGCATTATTTGATAACTAGAGGCCCGGTGCACAAAATTCATGCACGGGGGGTGGGGGGTGTCCCTCAGCCCGGCCTGCACCCTCTCCAATCCGGGACCCCCTGTGGGATCAGGCTTAAACCAGCAGTTGGACATCCCTCTCACAATCCAGGACTGCTGGCTCCTAACCGCTCGCCTGCCTGCCTGCCTGATCGTCCTTAACTGCTCCCCAGCCAGCCTGATCGCCCCTAATTGCACCTCTGCTGGCCTGATCTCACCCCTAACTGCTTGCTCCCCTGCACTGGCTTGATCTCGTCCCTAACCGCGCCTCTGTCTCGGCCCCCGCCACCGTGGCTTTGTCCAGAAGGATGTTGGATGTCCAGTCGATCCAGTCTAATTAGCGTATTACCTTTTATTAGTATAGATAGCAAGGCAAAAGAAAATCCACTTCAATTCAAACCTAGCACCACTTCTCTTCCACATGACAATCCTTCCCTCCTTCAAGCAACTCTTCTTTTTTCCAGGCTGAACATCCCCATTTATCTCCCACAGGATGGTTTCCAGCCTCTTCTACATCCCAGTCACTCCCCCGAGGACAGAATCCATTGTGAGCACGTGCTCTGCCACCTAACATTGTGCCCTGTATCTATTCTTTCAACAAAGGCTAAGTGAGCACCGGGTATCATTCTAGGTTCTGGAGATACACCAGTTTCAAAGTCGCTGCTCTCTGGAGGCTTAGCATCTCATTTAGCATCCAGATCAATGCCCAACACAAAGTAAGCACTCACTAAATATTTTTTAAGACCACACTCATAAAACGTAGTGCCTGACTTTAAAAACAATGATCCCAAATGTGGTTTATCGTGCTGAAAGCAGCACACTCAGACATGCAGCAAAGGATAAGAGAAAACTAGAAGTATGCACAAGGCTGAAAGCGGAGCAGTCTAGAGTGTCTTTGCGACTCACTGTATATCTCAATGACACAACGATATTAATCACAAAAGGAGATATAAGAAGTTCATTGTTCATAAGAGGTCCAAATTATGTCTACACTCTGTTCAAAAATGTAGTTAATACATTCCAGAGACATGCAAGACAGCTGATTTAAAATATTTTATTTCTTAGCACTTGTTCCTATTGTTATGTAACAAGTTACATTAGTAACTTTAAGCAACTATTTAATTTGGCTCATAATTCGGGGGAGGGGTCAAGAATTTGGGGAAAGGGTGGCTGGGTAGTTCTGGTGTGGGGTCTCTCATGTGCCTGCAAAAACATTTAGTGAGTGCTTCCTGAGTGTTGGGCATTGTTCTAGGTGCTGGGTGAGAGGCTAAGCTTCCAGAGAGCAGCGACTTTGAACTGATGTATCCCCAGTTCCTAGAATAACACCTGCTGCTCACTTAGCCTTTGTTGAAAGAATAGATACAGGACATAGGTTAGGTGCCTGTGATCAGGTGCCAGGTGGAGCTGGAATCACCTGAAGACCCAACTGGGTGGGTGTCCAGACGGCTCCTTCGAAAAACTGGTCGGTGATGCTGGCTAGTGGCTGGCAGCTCAGCTGGGGCTGTGGACCACGCCTCTCCTGCATGGCGGTCCCAGGGTAGTCACATTTCTCTATGGCAGCTGGCCTCCCGAGCTAGGACCCCAAGAGAAGCAGGCAGAAGGTGCACAGCCTTTTATGACCTGGTGTTGGAAGTCATGGCGTCCTTTCCGCCATATTCTAGTGGTTGAAGCAGTCACAAGCCAACTCATATTCAAGAGGAAGGTATATACTAGTAGACATACCTATCAGTGTAGGAGAATTTCTGGCCATTTTAAAAAAAACTGCCACAGTTCTTAAAAGGGTAAGTTTCAATGACTTCAACAGTGTGGTATACTGCCTTCCAGCTATGAGTCATTATGAGGAAAATATTATCTGGTATTTTGTTCAGTCTAAATATCTTCTTTGGTTTAATAAGCTAAGCTGAGTTCATTGATTAGCTTAACAGGAGGGTCACAGAACAGGTTTTGGACTTTTGAACTCTTAAGTAACAAAAGGCCACAGGGGCACACAAGTCCTGCCCGCTTCTTAAGGCCAGGCTCCAGGCCCGCCTTGCCCGCTGCAGGTGGCACTGATCTCGCCCGCCCTGCTCTGCTCACTTCCCTCCTCATCACACACTTTGGACTGGTGAGCTGTAGGAGCAAGTGGGTGGGGAGGGAGAACAATGAGAGAGACGCTGAGTCCATCTGTATCATCAGGTTTGTGAGGATAAGAACTTAATTCTTTCTCTTTCCCAAGCACCCAATAAAGATTTGCTGTTTGGCTTGTGCTCAAAGTAGAAAGGAGGAGCCTTACGGTTCCTTGTTCTTGCCCCATTCATACTTTTACATCACTGAACAAAGCAGACAATGTGTGTGCCAGGCGGCTGGACGGCTGAGATCTAGGGAGGCCAGGAGCTGTCTACAAAATAAGCCAGACAGAGGAGGGCAGCATATGATCTCACTAATGTGTAGAATCTAAAAAAAAAAAAAAAAAAAAAAAAAACAAGACAAAAGAATAAACAAAACAAAACTCATGGATACAGAGAACTTAGTGGTAAGTGGGGGTGGGGGTGATGAGTGCCGGGGATCAGGAAGTAGAGCACTTCCTGCTGTGAAATGAATAGATGAACAGGTCCCGGGGATTGGGGACTAGAGTATTGCAGCGATATTGGAAGGTCCCAGGACAGTGGGTCTGGAATGATCTCATGACAAGAAAAAAAAAAATTATAGCTTTTTATGGTGACAGAGGAGGGTCTTAGGTGTAGGACCAGGTAACTATTTTCAAATATCTGAAGTATTGCTACACAGAAGACATCAGACTTCTTCTACTTCAGAAGGCGTGTGGGTAGAAGTTAAAAATAAGCAGATTCACCTTATCATTTAAAAAAAGAACCTTTCGGCCCTGCCCAGGTGGCGCCGTTGGTTGGAGCGTCGTCAGTTATTTCTAGGTCTCAATTTGTCCCTTGCAGCTCTCACATTCTCAGACTCCAAGGGACCCCCTTCCTTTATCTACCACAATGAGGCTGACCTCATCAAAGGAGAGGCGCAAACTGCCGCTTTCTCCCGAAGCTTAGTGATCCATCTCACCAAGAAGCTCTAGTGTAAAAAACTGAACCATTAAATTGTCAGTGAATGCCGGACCAGGCCTGATGCCACAGTTGGTGAGTGTTGGGCTTCAATCCGATGATAATCACATGAATAAACTCACTCCACACAGACACAGCCCACCTGGAGAGCCTGGCCTTCCTGGACTATTTAAACGACGCTCTATGCTTAAGAGAATGTTTGTAAAAATCATCCGTTTGGAATTTACAATTTGTTTTTCCCCACAGAAATGCTATTATGCATGATTAGGTTCCTCAGCCAGGGCATTAAAAGTATTTATTCTGTCAAGCATGAGGTACCAGCACAAAAGTGCCTGAGGAAACATAACTTGGCCACACTGCATGAAATATTTAGTAATGCAATCAGTGCACCAAGAACTTAATATTCACCCACCTTGACATGTACACATGGATGCATACAGACACACATACTGCTGACAGGGGATTTTCAAGAATCAAAATGCCTGCAGCGATGTTCACTTAAGTCCTTGTCACAAAAAAAGAAAAGTAAACTTTTGAACAAAAATA